TCCTAAAAAACAAATGACACTTGCTGGGCTTTAACTTCAGCCCGGCGTGTCTCAGCCGATCAAACACCACTCGGAGACGTTCTAAGGTCTCCGGCACTGTTCTTCCGAACACATCGATGTCATCCAAATATATCAGTAGGATTTTCCACTGTAAGTCGGCCATGACTTTTTCCATGAGCCGCTCAAAGGTTGCCAGGGCGTTGCAAAGCCCAAAGGGCATGCACTTCCACCGATACAACCCGTTTCTCACAACAAATGTGGACTTTTGACAGGCGTCCTCGTCAAGAGCGACTTGCCAGTACCCCGACGTTAAGTCGAGTGTACAGAACCACTTTGCCCCTCGCAATGCATCGAATGTTTCATCGATGGGCGGGACAGGGTACGCCTCTTTGACAGTGACTGAATTCAGCTTTCTGTAGCCAACACAGAAGCGCTTCTTACCGTCTTTCTTGTCAATCAGGACAACCTTAGCTGTCCAGGGACTATTGCAGGGTTCTATTACTCCTCGCTTCTCCAGATCGCTTATTTGCTCCTGGATTTCCTGCTGATGCAGGTACGGATGACGCCTCACCCGCTCTTTAATCGGCCTAGCATCACCAGTGTTTATGTGATGCTTGACCACATCCGTGCGACTGATGTCATGGTCACCCTTGGACAACACATCCTGGAAGTCTATTCGACATTCCCGGACATCACCATGGTACTTGGCCTCTACTTTGGCTGTAGCCTTTTCATATAAGTCTTGCAAATGCAGGGACAACTCCTTCCCTGTGTTTGCCTCCGGGTTCAATTCATCATGAATAGAACTTGCCTTAACTTGGGAGATAACCCCCACTGTTGTTCCCTCACGGGCAACTCTTTTCTCCCTTCCGGGATTGAAGACCCGTAGCGGAACAACATCAGCTTCAGTCTCAACCAGAGATCTGGCCAACAATAAGCCTTTCTTTGCTAGGTCACCACCACCTTCCACCGGTTCTACCATGGCTGGCCCGAGCAAGTCGGGACCCTTCCGAGCACTTTTGCCGGGGACCACAGCTTCATGACCTGGTGGGATTACCGTAGTCTTACAAACTACAAAGCGTCCCACGAAGGGCTCGCCTGCATTGTTCACTTCTCTCACCATTGAGCCTCCACTCCCTTAATTGGAAGTCCATGATTCCACCTGTTGGCACGAGAAAATCCATGCCCAGGATACCACTGTATTAGATCTAAGCAAATACAACCTTCACTTGGTGCGTGGTCCTACCAACTTGTATCTCAACCAGAGCCACGCCAAGCACAGCTAACTGGCTTCCGTCCGCCTGTTTTACCTGGACGTCTACCGTCTCCAAAACGGGTCTGTTCTCTTTTGGGATTTGGTAATACACCGCGCCTCTTATTAGAGTGTTGGTGGGCCCCGTGTCAATCGAGAATCGGCACTTGTTGCTCTTATCAACCCATACACAAACAACCCATACCGAGGACCACGACTTGGATCAGACAGAGTTATTACTCGTTGCCCATCCTCACGTTTGGACCTCCCATTTCTATTTTGGGTTTCATCACCGAGTCTACTTTTGGACCCTCTCGACCACTCAGCCTTCCCGCGGGTCCTCCGGGGCTGACCGTTGTTTCCCTGCTTTGGAGTTCCTTTACACTCCCGGGCGAAAAGCCCTCTCTCACCACATCTGAAACATTGAAAGGTTCCAGGTTCGGCTTTCCCGGGCATTTGTACGTCTTCTGAGACACCACGCCCTTGTCTTGTCCATGGCCTTTACTCTTGTCGGACATGACTTGACCAACTCAGCCACAGATTTCAATTTCTTGGCCTGCTCATTGAGACTTTCCTGTAGAGTCTCCAATCTGTGCTCTGTTACAGAGTCCATAGTCCTCGCCCATTGGCAGGCCTTCGGTCCAGCAATCTATGCTGTTCGACCTTCTCAAAATTCTCAGTCTCCAGGGCAACCTGGACTGCTTCGTCCAAGGATTTTGGACGGGCCCTGTTGATGCCCTCTCTAATTGAGTTGCTGTCAACGGCATCTACGAAGTGGTTCTCTGCCGACTTCTCTCGAGCCTCTTCCTGTATTTCAGGGTATGCTCACACCGTTAACTCGTGGATTGCTTGCCCTATTAATTCTAGCAATCCCTCTTTCTGCTTTTGGCGCCGGTGTTTTAGCTCAACGAGATAATCCTCACTCTGTCCAGCTGACCCAAACCTACGCTCAAGCAACTCGACCAGCGCACTGTACGTGTGCTTATGACCTGAGTCGCCCAACAACCGTAGAGCATCCCCTTGCAAGCTTGCGGATAACCACTTCGCAGCTTGCTCTTCGCTCCACTGGTTTACCTCACGGCATGACTCAGAATGGCGGAAGTACGCCTTTCAGAGCACTTTCCCACTATACCGGTCAGGGGTTATATTTGGCCTAAGATTATGTGGCCCCACACCTTCCTTCAGACCAAAGTCGCCATGGACACGTGCCTCTCGTTTCAGTGGCCAAGGACCTACTGACGAGCTGTCCACTCTTTCAGCCGACCTGCTGTCTTTCGCCAAGACTGGTCTAGTTGCGAAACTTAACAGATCGCTGTACACTTGTGTAGGGTTCACATTTTCCATTTCACGAACGAACGGGTTAGTACTTGGCTTACCCTGTTCCGCGCCATCTTGCCCCGACAGGAGCAGTGTTAAGTCGTATATGACTTGACTCTCACGTTCCAAGGCGATTGGCGTCGACCCTGCCCGGGAGGTATTCATTGAGCCTGAGTCTTTCAGATGCGTACTTTCCATAAAGCTGGCCTCCCTGCTACGTTTGTGGGCCCAGTCAGTCACCATCTTTGTGTCTGACTCTCGTCTCCCCGTTGCTCCAGAGACATACCCAGTAGTCTCTTCGGGCAACCTCAGCTCAACATCAGTATCTACCTGATGGAATATACGCCGGTTCCCACCTGGCGTGATAGTGTTCCCTCCCTTTGGAGAACCACCCGACTGCATCTCCATGGCAGCCTCTAACTTCTTTGCAATGAAATCTTTTTCCTACTGCAGAAATTGAGCTTCCATTCGCAGTCGCTGCACCTCGGCCTCAGCACTTGAGGTGACCGCTTGACCCTGCGAGCCTTTACTCATAATTGAAAACAACCACAACAATCACACTCGAAAACAAACAACAAACAACCGATTAAACCACAGTACAAATAGCAATACAAGTCAAAACACAATGTGCAATCAAATAATTTAACAGCGAAATCACTTAATCAATTATAATCATCCCACATCTGACACCTTTTGTGGCGCTGATCTTCCCGTACCCAAGCTTTCTCAAGACGAGAGACAGTCAGAGGACCTCAAGGCTTAGGGAGCAGGTCCGTTTTGGAGGAAATATAACGCCGATTATGCAGTAGTGTTTTTGTCTTAATGAGGTTGTTAATTATCAGGGCCACTTAATTACACTTGGTAGTTAACTGACAGCTCACCTAAGCAGCAACGCGCACAGCCTGAACAATGTGTCCATTGTAGACAATGCACACTAAGTCAACAATGTACACTGATGTAAACAATGCACGGCTACGTCAACAACGCACACTAATGTAAACAACACACACCAATGCAAGTAATACACACCAATGTAAGTAATGCACGCCGATGTTAGTAATACACGCTGTTCAGCCTTAACCTGATTTACGCTTTACCCATGCAAGCTAGCGTCAGCATCGTTCGGTACATTCACTTGTACGGCTGCGCGTCAGCATCACACAGCGCAACTTCAGCACAGTTATTGCCACGGTGCGCGTCAGCATTACCCAAAACACAGAGCGCGAGCAACACGACCTCACCGTCTGCTGTCCACAGCACAACTCCTCCGCGCGATCAGGTGAATAGCCCTCACCCGAACATGCATACGCCGTTCAAACACATATGCATGTACTAAACCTATGAGCCTTTGACAACCAAAAGTGTACGTGCATTTTGGTCACTGGGCTCTTACGCTCCGCCCAGTCACCAGCACACAGTGAATTTACGTTATTGCAATACGAATGACGGAGTAAATAAACTAGCTATACGTCCCTACACTTTCCGCTACACTATCCTCACCTAATGTTTATCAGACATAGTCAGAATCGTTTGGTGTGGGAACCAGACTTAAGCGGGGGTGGCGTGGTGATCACCATCTGACTATAGAGAGCGCTGTTCGTCATTTGTGAATGTGCAGACACACCCATGCGGGCACTTTATTCGTCAATTATATTTTGCGATCTCAATGAAAACAGTTGTTGATTGACTGTTAAAAACATTGCATATTAGTTCACATTAGGTTACATTAGGCATCATTGGCTTTCATCTGTGTTTTTATTTCAATTAATTCCAAAGTGTTGTTGATTGGTGTGGAGAGCCAGCAGAGGGTGTGTTACTCCGGCCCCCCACCGGAACCTGATCCTGATAATCCGGAAGACTGGATGAAGCAAGTCATGCGAGAGATACGGAAGCGTTGCCTGGGAAGGAGGCAACCTACCAAAGCTGCTGGTACGATGTCCCATACGGGAGGTTCAACTAATAAACATGTGGATTTGTTCTATAGGTTATACATTTATTGCATTGGGATTGAACATTCTATTTTGAATGATGTTAATTGCGATGCTGCAATTGACATTAAACACCTGCTAATGTGCGAAATGAGGAGATATGCTTGTCGTGCTTAATTTGTTTCACGTTTGATTTTTTGCCACAAAAAATGTTATACGTTCGACTCCACCCATTTCGAAAAAAATGGTTTGTTTTATGCAAGTCCCCAAAGTAAAACCAGAAAAAAGATCAACAACGGAAAATCCTTTGGTGCATAGTCATGCTCCATGTATTTTCATTCTGATTTATTTAAGGTAAAATTTGAAGTATTATTATGTGTTTTACACCCAATCACGGTTTAGGATCAAATGATCTTGCTCACGATATGAGTGGTTTTTTTTTTAATTATCAATAATTATGAATAAATGTTCCATTTGTTCACTCATTTGTCACCAGCAGAGTGTTCCAGTCTGCAACCCCTTGGTATGGAGAACGGGACAATACAAGATAATCGCATCTCGGCGTCCAATATTCGCAGCTGTTGCCCTGCAAGTCAGGCACGCCTAAACAATTACATTGGATGGCAAGCCTAGTATGTATCAAAGGGAAATACAACACCTGACACGTAACTCTCATATCTATATTCCCTCTGTATCATTACAATGCCACAAAACGCTCCTGAATGTGTTTAATTAATGAACATCTAATTGAATCAATGTTTTTTTTTATGTTATGTTTCATTGGCGGATCCAGCGCGGGGGGGGGGGGCAACGGAAGAACGGACGGTGATCCGATGAGCCACCCGTTTTGAGTTTGAGGAAGAACAATCGTACAAAAGCCGTTGCAATTTTCACGCACCTCCTAAGACTTTATGCGCAGGTTATGATGGTCGCACGATATGCGGATAAAACAAGGGAAAACAAACTGTAGTGGAGTCTCATTTCGCGTATTTTTTAGCGCGTCATACGTCCATGAGACTGCACACGAGCAACTGCTGCGTACAATGCGTATAAAGTCAAACCGTTTTCACGCTCTGGGCTTGGTGACTAAACAAAATCAAACAATGGCCACTTCAGATTCTATTAAAATATTTTTCGGATACGTTTCATGCCAGTTTGTTACACTTCCCAAATATGGATCCGCTGTAATGACATATTCAAATTCATGTCAGTTATGTGACCGAGCGCGGAACAATTACAAATTATGTGCATGTTCTCAACTTAAGGCTTTGAATGCAGAAGAAACTTCATAAGAGCAAGAGTTTATAGGCCTATATGTATTTGAAACAAATGAAACAAAATATTCCCTCATAACTTTAAAAACTTCTGCAAAAAAATCAGGGGAAAGTGGCCAGGAAACGCCTCAGATCGCACCACAGAGCATCTACGATCCAAAATTTCCCGGGGCCCTTAAATGGGCCCCGGACCCCATGCCATAAGGGCTTCGCGCTCCGTGCTCAGCGCTCGCCTTAGTCCTCCGGCCAAATTTCCTCTATGCTATAATTTCACCCTAGCAGTGCCCCCACCTTTTGGTACCTTCAGCGAATGGCTGAGGCTCGGACTGCAAGTGGCCTAAATCCCTTTCCAAAATAAGAAGTTGTGAAAAAATACGGAGATGGAACATAGTTCTCAACTTTGAGTGCATAACAAACTTTATAAAGAACACAAAAATAACACATTTAAATGGAATTTTCGATGTTTAAAACGTTTTGTAAACGGTAGAAAGTGACCAGGAATCGCCTCAAATTGCACCACAGAGCATCTAAAATCCAAATGTTTCCGGGGCCCTAAAGTGGGCCCCGGACTCCACGCCGTAAGGGCTTCGCGCTCCGCGCTCGAAAGTCCTGGACCCTTCATTACAATTCTAGCCCCCCCCCCGGCAAATGGCAGTCTAGATCCGCCCCTGCATTTTGTTTTATTTTGTCCAACAATCTTTTTTTGTTTAGTTCTCTTTTTCATTACAAAACAAATATTATCCCGGCCAAAGCCCAACCCGGATGCGCATTTGAATTACACACTGTAACGACTTTCAATAACTGTGTTCAATTTTCAAATCCATTCCACAACCGGATTTGCGGAGTATTGTTATTTCATTGTTCCTCATCCTCTCTTCCCTCTGTGTACAGTTACTTCACCAATGCCTGGATCGAGGTGAACCTCGATGAGCCTACAGTGGTCAGCGGGGTCATCACACAAGGCTACCCCTCTCACGATTATTATGTGAAGAAGTACAAGGTGTCGTACAAGAAGCAGTCCTCATCTGACTATGAACACGTAACAGATGGAAACGGAAATAACAAGGTGGGTATCAATCATGACTAAGTCTTGCTGTAAGCTAAATTTAACTGATATACGTTGGACAGTTTTGGCAAAAAAAACCACAATATTGTAAACGTAACTTTTCTTTAAATTATAATTTAGTTTGGGCTTTTCTCGAATTTTGATAGCTGTATTCTGTACGACGTTATTCGGTTCCATGCTAATGCAATCATTTAGCAATTCCGAAATCGTGTCTAATTATAGCAACCAAAGAAGCAACGACAGAAAATATTGATGCTACATTCTCCAATAGAAAGGTTTTTCATGAGAAAATTACTTTAAGTAAAAAAAAAAGGTAAAATGCTCTTAAGCTGAAGTAATAACCCATGGAGCCCAGTTTAGAGAAGTTTATATGGCTGAATAAGAACTTAAAAGTGAGTTCCCACCCAGGACACACAGTTTACTTTTTTATATATTTACGGTTTGTTGACATTCTGTTTGGAAGGACGACTGTTGAGATTGTCCGCTCTTTTAATAGTCTTGGTCTAAGACGTTACTGCAAGGAGGCTACTTTTGTTGCTAACATGCGTTAATTGCATTGGGATTCATTTCAGGTGTTCATCGGTAACACTGATGGCGACACCCCGGTCACTAACCTGTTTGATGAGAGTGTGGTCGCCACGGTAGTGCGCATTGAGCCTACTGGATGGTATGGTTATGTTGCTCTGCGATTGGAGCTGCTTGGATGTCGCCGTGATTAATTCAGCTGAAGCATTCAGTTGATTCTGTTCGACAGCGCTGACATTTCATTCAATGCAAAATAAATTCGACTTCTATATTGAATATTGATTATTAAAAAAATTAGTATATTTGGTAAGAGGAATATTTTTCAGAAAGCAAAAACAAACTGAGGATTTGGAATAATCACTAAGGGCCCTCGCGTGAATTTGTGTCTTGAGAAAAGAGAAAGCGAAGTACGTGTGAAAACTTGGCCTTGTGTATCTCTTGAAAAGTTATAGCGGTTTTCTGGTGTTTTTTTTTCATAGTATTTGCGCTGTAAGTAGAAACGTCTAAACTATAATTGTGGTACTTTGTTGTATAGTAAAAACAAAATGTATGTTAAGCTGTGCTGCTATCTTCAATCTTCAATACAATGTATTATATTCATACATTGTTCGAAATAAACAAAAATCAATGAACTGTTAAAAATACAATACATAATTGACCAAAACAATAAACTCGGAAAATCAAAGTGAATTGTGGGAACAGGGAAACCTCTCGATAATTGAAATATTTTAGTAATCAAACTGTTTGAATGAGGGCCGGTTCATATACTTCACTCGAATTCCATTGCAAAGCGCATCTGAGGTCAGGATCATTCGCCGTGAAATTCGCCCGAGTTGAAAAGTGTGGTTTTTCTTTTGCCAACTCACAGCGCGTTCGCGTTCGCTTTTGTGCCGAGTAAGATGGGGCTTTTGCTTCTAGATGTTATTCACTGTGGTATTTTGCTGTAAATATAAGACAATTTAAGTCACGATATTAAATCATTGTACAATCATTTCGGAGCACATTTTGGTGTTAGATGTATAGTGTATTGTTACGGAAAAGTAACATTTTATTGCTATTATATATTGTAATATTGTTAGTATAGTGTTGGACAATGTTATCAATGTGATGACTTATTGCTGTGGATGTACAGGTTTATCAGAATTCCAAAATTACAAACTTTTAGAGGTCAAATACGGTGGAGGTTAGCTTTTGTGAATGCAGAAATTATTAAGAAAAGAAAAGAATATAAGAGAATATTTCCCAAATATTCGTAGTTCTGTGCGAATATCGACGAGTTATCGTAAAGAGAAGCTAAGAGGCAGCCATCTTGATCTCATTGAGGGATATACCAATATTGTACATTTATTATTTAACTGTTGTTTTTGCTTAGCGGTTATGTTCCTATTTGTGAAATAAAAAATGTCTATAAATAAACCATGTATTTGGTCTTGCTTGTTTAGTATTTGCTTGATTTGTTCCATGATCGAATCATAACTCGAATCAGATCAGTAGATGTGCGTTGCGATAGGATTAGAAAGCAGAATGGATTTGCGGCCAGTGCACATTTGATTGTCTGTGACCACTATTTCGAAAGCAAGGAAATGTGTATATTGTATATTGTTTTCTCTTCATTTTGTGTTTCTTTCTTTATTTTATTTTTGTCAAGGGAAAGAAGAAAATTCCCTTGGTCCCCCTCCTCGTTACTCCCATGTTACTTTATGGTACATGCTGTCTGACAAGTGCACCATGAATAGATAACGCAATGAACGACCCATTTATTAGGTACTTTGTTAGTCTCCTCCTGAAACATCCTCTGGGGATCTTGAAAACATTATCTAGGGATGTTGACGTTTACCGCGTCATATGTTGAATTGCCGTCAAATGGCTAATTGGAGCGTTTACTAAACAGTGGAACCTTGGGCCATACTATCGTGGCTTTGGTGAAGCTGCGAAGCCACGAAGCGGAGCGGATGCGAACTCGGCGCGAAAGATTTTTCTAACATTTTGTGAGGCCTTGGTTGAATTATTTATAAGGTTGCAAACATGAATCATTGTTATTTGAAGCGCATGCGCATACGATTCAACGGGTACCACGGAGGACTCCTATTGTTCGGCATGTAAATGATTCATTCGACCGTGCGTGACTTTTCAGAAATTCCGCTGAACCCAAAATCTTTACATTTGTATCGGTCTCAATTTTTTTCTCGAATGTCTTGGCAACGACAGCTCCTGTGCCAAGTTCTCGGATAACCTCAACATCCAGGTCACCAATAAACATCGCGAGTGTAGATGGAATTTCGATTTTAGACTCATGGCGTCATCAGGTGTCAAGCTGCGTCACATTAAAGGTGCATTTTTGAAAGCCCGATATCTCCTGAAGACATCTCCTGAAGATAAATCCAATTGGGTTGAATCATTACAGTGTTATAAATGTAAATTTCAGTCGTGATGACGTGTCATGTGACCTCACATTTAAGGCGCAATTTGCTGAGGTCTCGCGAGAAGTAAAGGTCTGATTCAGTTGTACTTTGTGTATAGTGTTGTGTATTATTCATGCATATGACATTTATAATGACACAGTGAATTCATGATGAAATATTATGATGAGTCATCACATCTCACAGAACCATTTCAAAAACAGACGAAACAGCTTGTTTTCGTACACAACACACATTTCTAGCTTAATTTGTATTTCATCGGCTGATGTGCTTTGTGTAAAGATGAGATGAACGAAACGACCTGCTGCCAGTCCAAGTTTGATTGCCAAAAAAAAAAGTTGTATACAATTTACAGACAAAAAGACCATCATAATTGCCGAACAAAGTGATTTTCGGTCATAAGGTTACCCCAAAGTAGCAACCACAAGGGCAAAAATACCCCAAAGGTCAACGTGTACCTACTCATTTTCGCAACTATGGTTTTCCCTTCACCTCTCTAGATTCCAAAATCGCCAGATCTTTACCACTATTATGCACAATTGAAGCGATATTACATTCATCGATACTTGTTTTCCTTGAAATTCTCCAAACCACATTCCCAAACTACAAAACAAAAATGCCCTAAATTGCTGTATAAATAACCTTTTTAGGGGAACGAAATTAAACAAATAATGAATGAAAAGAAAAGCAATGACAGTTCATGCAGTATGCACTAGACTACATCAGTGACTCCTTCCACTGAGTTGTTATATTCATTATATTATTGCATGTTCATGTATTGCGCCATTCGCGGCAATCATCCATGTAGGATCGACTTTGTGGTATTGAAAAAGCTTCCCTCTGGTCAATGCAGTCCGCGGCACGCCCTGGGGAGAGGGCGCCCGCATTCGAGCGGTACTTCACTGGATTTTTTTTTTTTGGTTTTCACTTTTACCCATCGGCCTTATAACATTAACAGGGTCCTGATTCCGATAAGTGTTGCAATCGCACTCAGTGTGGCAATAACACTCTCTGAACTTCTGAAGACATTCCTTCATAGAGAGCAAAACATAATGACATTAAAAAGTCAACGGTGAGAGTAATTAGAGCCCAAATTAGAGGATGAAATAAATCAGATTTCATAGGACGCCGAGGATCGGATGTATGGTTTCGCGGTGATCGGACGTGTTTTCTGGATGCTCGTGAGCGCGCGAAAAGTTTTTGAATCTCTGAAAAAACAGTGACTGTTTTTTTTTGCTTCGATCTTCGATTCTGAGTACAAGATCTTGCTGGCATCGTTCTTCTGGTAAGCAAAATCTCAATATCAGGAGGCTGTAATTCAGGTTTTCCAGATTTCTGGGCCAACCTAGGCCTGGATTTCCACTAACAATGGAGGATGACATGGAGTCTGAAACTTCATGGGATCAAATGTCACAATCTAACATGTCTAACCCATCCCCCCAGTATGATGACCCACCTAGATCAACACTTGACAGATTAATAAGTCAGGCACAAGATAGCTCTCAATTCCAGACTAAGAGCCGCAAACGGCACATAACATACAGCGATGTATACTCTGACTCAGACAGCGATACTTCACAAAATCCCCAACCTAAACGGCGATTCACAAAGAGTCAAAACACCAAGAGCCAACCGACACTTGTCATCATAAATTCCCCAGATGTTAAACTTGCTAAAGTTAACCCAATAAAAATAGCTAAAGCCCTGAACAACCTAGGTAGTAATCTTGTAAAAAGTGTCACCAAAAACAGCCAAGGCGGAATTACGGTTAGGTGTCATACCCCAGCTCTGGCCAAAAAACTCAAAGCCATGTCGCAACTTGACAAATGGGCAATAACTACAGAATTTGCGAAATCAGAAACTCAAAGTAAAGGAGTTATTACAGGAATCCCCATTGAGATTGAAGATAAAGAAATCCTAGAGACATATAAGGATGAAGGAGTTCTGGATGTTAAGCGCCTGATGCGCAGAAAAGATGGCAAATTGGAAAAAAGTCTTTCTGTCTGTCTAACTTTCAATACACCCACCCTACCCGAAACCTTCCAACTGGGATACGAAATTTTCCGAGTAAAACCCTATGTCCCACCAGTAGTACGTTGCTTCAATTGTCAGCGACTTGGGCATGTTGCCAGCAACTGCCGCAGTTCAACCAGATGTGTTAGATGCGGGGGATCCCATTCATATGATCAATGTAAACAAAAGGATCAGGTTAAGTGCTGCAGATGTGGTGAACAACATTCATCAGCATATGCAGGATGCAATACTATCAAGCAAGAAAGACGCATACAAAACATCAGGGTATCGTACAATATATCTTACTCTGATGCAGCAAAAGCCATAAAAACAGACATCTCATTCAGCCGTGACGTACCCAGTCAACCTGCACCTAAAACACAAGTTACGCAACCGGCAGCAACAATAGTTGAGAACAAATCTAACCCAAACCCCAGGCCCAGAACAAATGTTACGACTAAGGACAAAAGACCTAGCCAACCCCAAGTTAGATCATCCACCGAACCACAAAAGGCAGATGCGACTACCCAAACCGAACAAACGACAGCCACACAAACGGAGCCTACGCATCAGTGCATTTGCAGTGAACAAAACATCCTAGAACTACTCACTGGAGTGATGCAAATCTGGGACTCCATCAAGAACAAAGACGAGAGAATAGATGCAACAAAGTCTCTAATCGAACACCTCCGTCTCCCTAAAGAACCAAAAAAAGCCAAAGAAAAACGCGGTAGACGGAGCAAAACAACATCGCAGTCACCAACCGGCACAAGGAAAACTGATACTCAGAAAACACAGCAGAAGAAAACCGACTCTCAACCAACTAACCAACAAATTGGAAATCAAATCCCAAACGGCAAACAAAATACGACATCATGAATATCTCCACTATTATGACTAGCCTTCTTATTTTACAATGGAATGCACAATCTCTCACAGCACATCATAAAGAACTTAAAGCGGCTATAAATTCCTGGTCCACTAAACCTGACATCATTTGTATACAAGAAACATGGTTGAAAGATGACAAAAATTTCAAAATGCCTGGATATGATGTCTACCGATGTGATAGGAAAAACACCACCAAAAAAAGTGGTGGAGGATGTGCATTTCTTGTAAAATATGGCGTTGGGTTTAAGTACAAATCTGGATCTAACACTCCTGTAGAATTTCAGATTGGTGAAATCTATGATGACTGCAAGAATAAAATCAACATCATTAATATTTATAATCCTTGTACCCAATTAGAATTTGACTCTCTTAACCAGATCATAGGAAAAATTGACAAGCCCTATATCATCTGCGGAGATCTCAATGGTCACAACCCACTTTGGGGCAGCTCTAAACTTGACCACAATGGGCAAGTTCTTGACGACGTTATATCCAGTAACAACATGGTTTGCCTTAACACCGGAGAAGGAACTAGGATTAACTCATCTCACTGCTCTCTCTCCTGCATTGATATTACTCTAGCTTCTCCTTGCATAGCCGCCAAATGTGACTGGTCAGTACTTGATGACACCTGGGGAAGCGACCATTGCCCAATTCTCATCGAAATCAATCATCGCATTTACAAAAGTCCTTCCAATAAACTACCAAGATGGTCACTGAAAAAAGCTGACTGGGGGAAATTCGAAGATGAATGCAATCGACTCATAAATAAACCGGATGAATCAGCAAAAATAGATGATGTTTATAACAATTTCATACATGATCTTGACCTTGCCATGACCAATTCTATCCCAAAAACAGACCCTAACCATCATAAATCGCCTACTTCTTGGTGGAACGAAGACTGTAAAAGAGCCATTGAGGAGAAAAAGGAGGCTTTGAAAAAAGTAAGGAAAACCAGGCTCCCGTCTGACCTAATAACCTACAAACGGGCTTGTGCAATCGCTAAGAAAACCATCAAGACTGCTGAATCTGCCAAAGATTACTGACGAAAATATGCTGTGCGCAGATCCAGAAGATTTTATTGTCTTGTACAACTTCTGACAGTTTTGGTAGTCGTACACTTGTCAGGCTCAGGTATAGGCACAGATTGACTACAATAAATAAAATGGAAAATAAAATGTATGTGTTACAAGAAATAATCCCGAGTTTGTGTAACCTAATTAACAGAATCAGCTGACTGAATTACATATCACCTACATGTACATGTACTCTAAATACTTGCACACAAATGTCCAAACTAAAGGCTAAATACACGTACACATGTGTGTAGGCCCCTACAATGTACAAGGACAGATAAGTTTATCGGCCATGACCTAAATGCAAGAAGGGTTTATGTACACCCTGTATGATACTTGTACATGTGCTTAATAACAAGATCCAAAATAACATGCGTGGAAAATACATGTACATTTGTACAACTTTTAGGCTTACAAGATATCACTAAAATCTCACATTATTACTGACTCATTGATATAAATTATTTAAGAGTAACCAACCGTTTAATAAACCTTGGCCAGTTAATGCTTTGGGCGAAGAATTCCACAGGTTGCAAATTCTGTCGTCATTGACATGATTGAGCTGAAGCCATGTTGCTTTTTGCTTAGCTCCCGTATTCCCGCAACAGCGCCCTCACTTGGCAAAACAAAAATAAGAAATCTATCTGAGTTTGGCCGCTACATACCGGCCCTCTAATTGGTTATTAATCAATAAGCAATTACATAATACCAATAAACAAGGTCAAACTTTACTATTATCTTTAAACTAACACTTGAAATCTTGGTGGATACAACGCATAACAATATGTCTGTAAATACTGACAACTACTCAACACTGCCTTCAACTAGAAGACATAGCTTTGTTACAGGGCGAACTAAAGTAGAAGTTTTTGTCTTCAACTTGACACTTCTAACAAATCCGTTCTTGTCCTTGACAACTTCAAGTACTCTGCCAAGCGCCCATGAGTTTCTTGGCGAAGAGTCAACCATCAACACAATGTCTCCCACAGTCACATTCCGCTTGGGGTGGGTCCATTTTTGCCTTTCTTGAAGCATAGGCAGGTACTCCTTCGACCATCTGTTCCAAAAGAGGTCTGCGAAATACTGAACTTGTCGCCACTGCTTAACAGGATATTTATCATGCTTGTCAAACAACCCAGGAGGCAGACTCTCGCCCGACCGTTGAAGAAGCAGATGATTCGGAGTCAGGACATCTAGGTCGTTGGGACTGTTAGGGCATTCGGTAAGTGGTCGTCCATTCATGACAGCTTCTACCTCACACAACAAAGTTTGGAGAGCTTCATCACTCAGATGAACATGCTGTTCTCGCATCAGAGAGTAGAGGATCTTCCTGACGCTTCTAATCAAACGCTCCCATATTCCTCCAAAATGTGATCCTGCTGGAGGATTAAATTGCCAGGATATGCCCTTCTGTAGCAAGTTGTCATGGATTTTCTGTTGGTTCCAGGTTCTCATCTGCTCACGCATCTCACGTTCTGCGCCAACCAAATTGGTTCCATTGTCAGAGAGAATGCTCTTTACTGATCCACGACGGGCACTGAATCTGCGGATTGCATTGATGCATGAATCCGTGTCAAGTGAATGCGCTAACTCCAAGTGGACAGCTCGCGAAGTCAAACAAGTGAATATGACCCCGTACCTCTTCACCATACTTCTACCACGTTTCACCTCAAAGGGACCAAAATAATCCATTCCAACCTTGCTGAATGGAGGTTCATTCAACGCAAGTCGCTCTCGTGGCAGGCTGGCCATTTTCTGCTGCTCAGCCGGGGCTTGGTATCTCCTGCAAGTGACACACCTCGAGACGATACCCTTGATGATAGAAGGTGCTCCAATTATCCAGTAATGTCGTCGAAGCTCTGCTAGGATGGAATTTTTGCCCAAGTGTCCAACTGACTTGTGTATATGCTGAAGAATAAGCCTGGAGACAGGTGAGTCTCTTGGCATCAGCACCTGGTGCCTGGACTCAAAGTCGAGATCTGCTCTACCAATCCGACCACCAACACGTAGAAGTCCATCTACCAGCTTAGGATCAAGCTTTCTCAATGAAGAAGACTTCTTGACTACCGAGGATGGTTTTCCCTCCGTCTCGTTGAGCAATTTGATTTCGTCCTTCCAATGTTTCTGCTGGACATGGTACACTAAAACCCTCTCAGCAGCCTCAAGGTTCTCTGTGGTAAGTCGAGTATGGTTAAGACTTTCTCTGTCACCTGATGAAAGAGTTTGCTTAACTCTGCTCTGCTCTGATTCGAGCTTCTGTGAACGGTGCAACGCATTGGGTTCTTGCTGTTCTAACTCTTGCTGTGCTGGCTCCTGTTTCAACCTCTCGCTTGCAGCTACTCTATCTTGGAGGCGCTTCATCACAACCAATATCCAAGCAACTGCCCGTTTCAGCCTGGTCCAATCTGAATAGTGCTCCAGAAGTCTGTCAACCGGACTGATAGGTGTCTCTGCTGTCATCAGCACAGTCTTCTTCACCTCAGCATCATTATCTGGTAGCTTGGTAAGATCGGCATCTTGCTGAGGCCATTCTGTTTCTGGCTGAGACAGGAAGCCTGGACCCTCAAACCACATGGAGCACTGAAGAAACCTTTTCACTGACTGACCACGTGTTGCGCAATCAGCAGGGTTGAATTTGGTATTCACATACTTCCACTGCTGCAAGCAAGAGGCATCTCTGATTATTGCAATGCGATTTGCAACAAAGGTCTGGAAGCGACAACTCTCGTTTGCGAGGTACCGCAATACCGTCATACTGTCTGTCCAGTAGTAGGTGCCGTGTATGTCGCAGTCCAGCTCTTGAGTAAGCACTTTGCCAAGTCTAACTGCGATGGTTGCTGCTGTCAGCTCCATACGCGGGATAGTCATCTTCTTTAAAGGTGCAACCCTTGCTTTGCCTGTAACAAGCGAACAGCTGATGCGCCCAGATTCATCACAAAGCCGGAGATAGGCAGCCACACCATACCCTACGTCACTAGCATCTGCAAAGATGTGAAGCTGACAGCTTACAACCTGCCCAAACCCTGAAGGCTTGTAGCATCTCCTGATCCTTAGCTGATCCAGGTCTTTCACCTCACTGAGCCACTGATTCCAGATTCTAAGATCTTCTCCCTGGATCTCTTCATCCCATCCTATGTCTCGTCGACAAAGACTCTGAAGGAGAATTTTGGCCTTCAACACGAAAGGAGCTGCGATGCCCAGAGGATCATAAACTGAACTAGTGATAGAAAGTATTCCTCGTCGTGTTGCAGGTTGCTTTGGCAAACTGACTTTGAACCCCAAGCTGTCTGATTCCACAAACCAATAAACCCCCAGAGCTCGCTCATTGGGAAGGTTCTGATTCTCCATCGACAACTCTCTGATGTCTTTTGCCCGTTCCTCTATTGGCACCGTCTGCAGAACCTGATTGCTATTTGACACCCATTTTGTCAGATGAAAGCCGCCTTGTTTGCACAGGGCTGTGGTACTCTGGATCAAATGAGCAGCTTCTTGTTCTGTACCAACCGAGACAAGACAGTCGTCTACATAGAAACTTCTCTTCACTGTGTCACATGAAGCCTCTCCGTAGTCACCATCATTATCCTCAACAGTTTGCTTAAGAGCAAAGCTTGAGCAACTCGGTGAGGACACTGCTCCGAATGGGTGGACTTTCAGACGATAGGCAACCGGCTGCTCTTTGAGATTGGCATTTGGCCACCAGAAGAATCGGAGGCAGTCACGGTCTTCACTGGGAACTCTTACTTGGAAAAAAATTGTGGCTATGTCTCCCATTATAGCTATCTCCTCTTGACGGAATCTCAGGAGTACACCCATCAGACTGTTTGTGAGATCTGGTCCTTGGAGTAAGACGTTGTTCAAAGATGAACCCAGGTATGAAGCCGCACAATCGAAGACTACTCTAATCTTATCGGGCTTGCGGGGATGATAAACTGCATGATGCGGAATATACCACACCCTGCCGTCTGCCCGATGTAGGTCTTCTTGTGGGACCTTTTCGGCGTAGCCTTCACTCATAATCTTGAACATGAACTCTTTGTAGTCACTGCCGAATTCACTGTTTCTCTGTAGTTTGTGTTTCAGACTATCAAGGCGCTTCAATGCCATTGACTTGTTGTCAGGTAGCTTTACATCTTCTTCTTTGAAAGGTAGACCAATACAGTAGTGACCATCTCTGTGAGTGATAGACTTGTTCACCGACGCCAAGAATCTGATGTCTTCTTGAGAATGCTCTTTCTTGTCGTCAATGAGCCTCTCGGGGAAATCCATGTTGATGGTCTCTCTAACTAATCTATCCAGATGCTTGAGCTGATCTACCTCTGCTACTGCTGTGACCTCAGCCTTGTTTACAGAGAAACTACAACTTATGTCACTCTGTACTTCTTCAGCGTCTCTCATCACATTCCAAACCAACCAACCGAGCATAGTTCTTGCAGCATGAGGGCTACCCGCTGGACCAGTTTTCAGATCAAACGGGGTGTAGGCATCTGCCACATTGTTATCAATCAGGAGTCCAATGTCTGCATCTATTTCAGGCAAGCTGATGTCTTTAAGATGGTCCCACCTGGAGATGTCATCAGTCTTTGGAATATGGTGCTGGGAAACTGGTATTGTGTCTTTGGTATACATGACTGGAAGATCAATCTCGTTCGTCATGTCTAAGTCGCTGACCTTCAGCCCGTCGATGAGATACGTCTTCATGGAGTAAGGCTTACCCATGGTGTCCAATGTAATGGACTTACATGGACCACTTGCTCCCAACTGCCGGGCTAGACTCTCACTACAGAAGGAAACCGTGCTTCCAGGATCCATGAATGCGTACGTTGGTACAGCCTTGATACCATCTCTCAGCCGGACTTTAACCGGTACAATTGCCATGGTGCATTGACCCTGCTGACCGGCCCTCGTATTACCACCTGCATGCTTTGCAAAGTTTGCACACTGCCCACTGCTGCCATCTGGATTAGGCTTTGACTCGGGCTTGGGAACCCTATTCTCATCGTGGAGGCAGGTTGGATGTCGACGTTTGCAAATGTCACAAGTGGATCTATGGCGACACTCCTTACTCTGGTGACCACGCTTGAGACATCCGTAACATAGACCTTTGGATTTTGCAAACTCTGTTCTTTCAGACAGAGGCAAACTGGACAGACGCTTGCACTTGTCAGTATGATGGCCTGTGTCAGTGCAATATATGCACACGTTCTTCACTTCATTGCCAGACTTTACTGCTGTTGACCTGTTGGCTCCTTCTCTGTTACGCCACGTCTGCTCGGATTGGCCACTTGAAACCTCGGTTGCAAAGCTGCCCCTTGAACGATTGGTGTTTTTGGTGACGACCTTTGCCCCTGTGCCTTTTATATCTTGGCTCAGTGCCTCTCTGCCGTACATGGGATCCATCACCTTCTTTGCCTCCATCTTTACAAATCGAACCAGTTGGCTAAATTGGACAGTCTCGCCTTTGTCTGAAGTCTGCCGAACAACATTTCTCCACCTGTCATGAAGATAGAATGGTAGTTTACCCACCAACTTCCTCATGTTGTCGGGGTACTCGAGGACCTTTACTGCTTGAATGCATTTTACAGCATTTTCACACTCAACCAGCAGAATTGAGAAGTCATCAAGTGCCTTCGGGTTGTCCGGACGAACACATGGCCAATCGAGTGCTTTCTTGATGAAGGAGTGGGCCATGAGATGCACGTCTCCATATCTAGATGCCAATTCTTTTAGAGCTGCAGGGTATCCTTGCTCAGCAGGAAGATGGCTGAAACCTGAGACAACTTTATATGCCTCTCCAGTAGTGAACTGCTCCAAGTAGCTCATTCGCTCATCGTCATTATCAGTATGTACTGCCACTTTAGTGTTGAACTGCCGGATGAATTTCCGGTAGTCGACTGGTTCCCCACTAAACCGCTTGATCTCAGGAGTAGGCCTTTTTAGTTGTCTGACAACTGCAAGA